AAATATGCATGAGCTAGACACAAGCGTTTCGCTACACCCGCAATAACATCTGCTAAACACGTGTATGTGACAAATAAAATTTGATTTGATTTGAACTCTGTTGCTATGTGACAACATGGAAACAAGCAAGTGGCTAGGGCTGCCTCCGTAATGTCACCCTATTCCCTATATAGTGCACTTTTGATCAGAGCCCTGTGGGCCGTGGTCAAAGGGAAGGACACAACCTGAGAAATACTAATATACAGTGCAGTGGGCTGTTCAGAGGGAATATTTTTCACTCAGATTTTTTAACTAGGCAAGTCAGTTAAGAACAGATTCTTATTTACAATGACGGCCTACACCGGCCAAACCCGGACGACGCTGGGCCAATTGTGCGCCGCCCTATGGGACTCCCAATCACGGCCGGTTGTGATACAGCCTGGAATCGAACCAGGGTGTCTGTAGTGACGCCTCAAGCACTGAGATGCAGTGCCTTAGACCGCTGCACCACTCTGATTGTCACGGTTTCGGCCGAGACTGCTCCTCCTCCTGGTTCGGGCAGGCAAAGGCGTTCGCCGTCCCCGGAGTACTAGCTGCCATCGTTGGACTATTTCCATGTGCGATTGCTTTTGTCTGTCTTTAGCACCTGTGTCTGATTTGTGATTATTACGTGTCCTATAAGTTCCCTGTGTTTGTTTGGATTAGTTGTGTGTTGTTTTTCGCCTGTCTTGTGTTGCGTGGTTCGTTTCTTGTTTTGTTATTTAGTGTTTTACGCATGTGCGTAAATACTCGCCTCTTTTTGTTTGAGGTCGTTAGTTTACCGTGTCCTTTTGGAATTTTGAGTAAACTCTGTTGGACTGAGCCTCGGTGTCCTGCGCCTGACTTCCACCACACATACACCTCACCTCATGACAGAACAACACACCATTTCCATGGAGTCAGCAGGAATAGCGGCGATACCCGATTCCCTGGAGGACCGGATAAATTACCAGGACGCTATGATCCGGCAACTCGGGGTCGTCATGGACGAGGCGTCCAACAGCCTGCGCCGGTTGATGAATCGGGAGGTGCCCACGTCTTCTCACACCATCCCAGCACCAACGGCCAGTCCTCCTCTCTCAGCACCGGAACCCAGTGGCATTCGGCTCTCGCTCCCGAGGGCATATGACGGTTCCGCAGCCGGGTGTCAGGGCTTTCTCCTACAGGTAGAACTTTACCTTGCCACCATACACCCGGCGCCCTCGGGATACGAGAGCGTCTCCGCCCTCATCTCCTGTCTCTCCGGGAAGGCGTTGGAGTGGGCCAACGCCGAATGGAGGGGAATAGACGCCGCCACCATCACCTACGCGGAGTTTTCCCGCCGCTTCAGGACTGTCTTCGACCATCCACCTGAGGGGAAAGCGGCGGGGAGAGCGTCTATTCCACCTCCGACAGGGGAAGAGGAGCGCACAGGAGTTCGCACTGGAGTTCCGGACACTAGCAGCGGATGCGGGATGGAATGAGAGGGCCCTCATTGACCACTATCGGTGTAGCCTACGAGAGGACGTTCGTTGTGAGATGGCCTGCAGGGACACCAACCTGTCGTTCGACCGGCTGGTGGACATCTCCATCAGTCTCGACACCCTGCTGGCTACCCGCGGACGTCCCGAGTGGGGGTCGTCCATTCCATCCTCCAGCACCTCCGAGCCTACTCCTATGGAGCTCGGGGGTGCTGGCGCTAGAGAGAGGAGGAGGAGGGAGAACCCGAGGAAAGCCAACTCCTGCACCAACTGCGGCCGTGGAGGACACACCGCGGCCAGGTGCTGGGGAAGGTTTTCTGAGAGAGGGGACAACAGGTCACGCACTGGGGAGTCATTTCAGGTGAGAAGGCGCCCCACTTACCCAGAGCTCTCTGTTGGTCACATGAGTATTCCTGTGCGTTTTCCACAGGTGGCACCTCATTCCCAGCATAAGGCGCTAGTAGATTCAGGCGCAGCTGGGAACTTTATTGATCGGGCATTTTGTGCTAGGTTAGGAATTCCCCTTCGGCCGGTAGAAGTTCCATTCCCTGTCCATGCATTAGACAGCCGGCCGTTGGGGTCGGGTCTGATCAGGGATGTCACAGCACCGCTGACGATGACGACGCAGGGGGGTCATGAGGAAATCATTCAGTTCTATCTGATTGACTCTCCTGCGTACCCAGTGGTGTTGGGGCTTCCCTGGTTAAGTACCCACGATCCTACCATAGCGTGGCAACAGAGGGCTCTTATGGAGTGGTCTGCCCAGTGTGTAGGGAGATGTCTAGGTGTTTCCTTAGGGGCGACCTCGGTAGAGAGTCCGAACCAAGTGCCCGCACTGCGCATTCCCCCCGAGTATGAGGATTTAGCACTAGTATTTAGTAAATCGAGGGCAGCTAGGCTACCTCCTCATAGACAGGGGGACTGTGCGATAAATATCCAGAATGGAGCAGCTCTTCCCAGGAGTCATGTGTATCCCCTGTCTCAAGAGGAGACTGCGGCTATGGAGACTTACATAGCCGAG